CTTTACTTGAGAGACATTATGGCAATAAATGGTATGTCATGACAAGAAGTACATATTTAGAAGACCAGGATGGCAAGCACTCCAAGTGTGACCCCTCTATTACACATCACCATCCTCAGTGCAGCCTCCTGGCTCACGGGTACCAGCATATACAGTTAGTCAGGGTGAGAATCTCACCAGCCAACCGCTAGTCTCAAAAACCTGCTGATGTCCCCCAGAATCACTGCCCCACCCATCTCATGCGTAAAAATGTATGGTTTTGCCTCTGTCATGTTTCCCAGCTTTTCTCCTTGCCCACTTCTCATTGTCCAATCCTCAAGTTCTTGCTTTCCTTTTATTTGTGTTGTAACTTTCTATATGTAATTCCTCTTTTAAGTTCTTATACTAGGGAGACAATACTATATTTACAGATGTGGGTCTGGTTGAAGCCTATCTTTAACATGGTAGAAACCAAAGGCCAGGCTATGGCTACTGACTGACCTTTAATATCTTTACATCCTCCTGGCTTAGGGATGACAACATGAAGATCTCCTGGAAGTGGGGCCAGCCAATCCTTTGAGGTTTTCTTACAGACTGTGTCTCTGGGTCTATAGCTGCTGGGCTAGGGCAAACGGTGCCAGGGTTTGAGCGGAAGGCCTGTCTGATATTCAGCTGCTTGCCGTTGACAACACCTTCAGTAAGGGCTGCTGTGAGCTCCAGGAGAACTGCCTTCCGCTTCAGGCAGTCCACCTGGGCATGAGGAATGGGAAAAATGTGTGAGGTCAGTGAGATGGGGACTTTGGAAGGAAGCAGACCCCTTCTTCAAGTGCACAATGTTTACCTTGTTCAAGACAAGAATGCTGGGAACCTGGGAGAACTGGGTCAAGCACTGGAGCACCTGTGGGCTGAGCTGGTTCCGAGTCCACTTGTCTGAGACATCCACAAGAACTACAACTGAAAGACAGTAGGACAGGCAGAAAATAAAAGGACATGACCCTCCTGGCCCATAAAAACTTACCAGGAACCAAAGACCATGACCCCTGTGAAGAATTGCACTTCAGATTCCTAACCAAGATCAGCAGATTCCATGCTCTTCCAAGGGTCCTCCAACAAAGAGAGCTCCAGATGGTGCCTGAGAGACAGACAATTATCAGTCACTAAGGGCCTTATAACTGATATTCTTTTGCTCTTGTTTATTCTCCCCCCCCCCCCCCAGAGTCTTACTTTGTAGTTCAAGCTAGCCTTAAACACACCATGTAGCACATGTTGGCCTCAAACTCATGGTGATCCTGCTGCCTTAGCCTCCTATGTGGTGGGATTATAGACCTACACCCCTATGATGGAATCTCCCCACCTCTTCTTCAATGCCTTCCCCAACACCTGGCTATGACTAATTTTATTTATTTTTTGGGGGGCAGAACCAGGGATTGAACTCAGGCCCTTGCACTTGCCAGAGAAGTGCTTATTCCACTGAGCCATCTCCCCAGCCCCAAAGGCCCTTTCTTTTTCTTTTTCTTTTCTTTTTTTTTTTTTTTGCAGAACCGGGGATTGAACTCAGGCCCTTGAGCTTGCCAGGCAAGCACTTATTCTACTGAGCTATCTCCCCGGCCCTCTTTTTTTTTTTAAGACAGGATCTCACTATGCAGTTCATAATGGCCTTGACCTCTCAGTGATCCTCCTGTCTCTGCCTCCTCAGCACTGATTACTGGCATGTGTCACCACATCCAGCCTTACCCATAATTTTGTGGCTTAGTTAGCCCTGGTGGCGGGGCTGGTGTGGATGTGGTACAGGGGACGAACCATGGTCCCTGAATTTGCCTAAGCAGACACTTTAGACCACTGAACTATCTCGCCAAACCAACTCACACATTTTTGATGAGGGAATCAGTGTGGTAGCGGTTTCACAGCCCCTATGATGGAATCTCCTCACCTCTTCTTCAATGCCTTCCCCACCACTCACACCCTGCCCAAGTTTCCAGTCATTACCGTTTCTGTTTAGCAGAACTGATGATGCCAGGTGTGTCAAGGAGAATCTAGAATCACGGAAAGAAAATTTTTTTGCAAAAAAAAAAAAAAGTTATGACTGGGATGTGAGAGCCCTTCCATGATATCAATAGCCTTCCCTCTTTTTTTTTTTTTTTTTTCTTTTTCCCCCCTTTGGCTATACCAAAAATTAAACCCAGTGGCACTCTACCCCTTAGCTACAAACATCCCCAGTCCTTTTTTTTTTGTGGAACCAGGGATTGAACTCCAGCCCTTGTGCTTGCCAGGCAAGTGCTTATTCTACTGAACCATCTCCCCAGCCCCCCTTTTTTTCTTTTTGAGACAAAGTCTCTTCTAAGTCACTAAACTTCCCAGCCTGGGCTTCAACTTGTGATCCTCCCGCCTCAACTGTCAAGAGTTACAGACATGAACCACCATGCCAGGCCTCCAGACTCACTTATCAGTCTGTGTCTATCTTTCTATCCCTCTTTACCCTGCTCTTATGGACAAGGTCTTGCTAAGCTGCCCAGGTAGGAGTTGATCTTTTTATTTATTTATTTTTTTTTCAGACAAGGTCTTGCTATGCAGTCTGCCCTTGAACTCATGACAATCTTCCTACCTCAGCCTCCTGAGTGCTGGTATTACAGGCATGTGCTGCCATGCCTGGTAGGTCTCAAATTTGTGATTCTCTGGCTTCTGCTTCCCTCAGTGCTTGGATTACAGAGATGCCCCTTTGTACCTCTTCCTGCCCTTCTTGACCAAGCTGCTGCTGCCTTTAAATTTTAACCCTTCAATGTTGTTTTAATTCTAGCTGCAACTCCAGAGGCAGATGATTATCAGCAAATGAAAGATTAGCAAGCAGTAAAGAGGGAATGACACTTTCAGATAATGGCAAAGCAAGGAAGGCAGAGACAGAGCAGTACTGGGCCTTAAGGAATCTGAGATCTGTCTTTCCTCAGGAAAGTTAATCTGAATCACTTTGTTCACTACTAATGGTAAAGGAAACCTTTCTTTGTAGATACCTACCAGCTGGGTCTCCTTCTCTGTGATGACCCCCAGAGCTTGGCGGCGGGTGGTGTGTACCTTCTTGGAGACAGGGAACACCTGCCAAGTATGAAGAAGTCCTAGTAAGATCCCAGATCCCTCTGGGACCATCCATAAAAGCAAAGAAACAAGAGATTAAAGGGGTATGGGGGTGGGGGGTTAAATGTAGCTTACTTGCCGGCCCAGCAGCTGGTTGGAGAGTGTTGATTTCCCAGCATTAGGAGCTCCTAGGAACACCACCCTTAGGATCCGGGGATTCTCAGGCATGTCAGGGGGACGGGCCAATAGGAGGTCTTGCTCATCTGTGTTTGAGTGGGGAGAGGAGTGAGGAACAGTAGAATGTGGACTCCTTGTCAGATGGTAAATCCACCCACCCACTGAGGAAATAAAGATACAAAGTGTGCTAGGCTGAAGCCACCTAAAACTGACTTTGAGACTCCATTTAGCCTCTTAATTTATGTGATTTTATCATGTTTTCTAGCCTCTCAAGGCCTTTAGTTTTCCCACATATAAAATGAAGTTGATGCCCAGTGTGGAAGTGCATGATTTGTAATGCCAGCACTCTGGAGGCTGAGGCAAGAGAATCACCACAAGATTGAGGCCAGCCTAGGGTACACAGTGAGTTCAAGGCCTGCCTGAAGTATACAGCAAGACCTGTTTAAATAAATAGAAAATGGAGTTGACCTACTTACAGCTTGGACAACTGACAATTGTGTAAAACTACTCAGGATAATGGTTAGAAATAAACAGATACTCAATATAGAATTAATGCTGTTTTTTGTACCTGGGAATTGTATGTTCATTTGGGTTTTTTTTGGTATCAGGGATCAAACTAAGGACCTTGAGCTTGCCAGGCAGTCGCTTAAGCTGCTGAGCTATCTCCCCAGCTCTGCATGTTCATTTGTTAAAGCACAGCTAGACTAACTGGATGCACTGTGGCACTCCTACAATCCCAGCTACTCAGGTTGCTGAGACAAAGAAGATTACTTGAGCCCAGGAGGTCATGAGTAATACGGACCATAAGCAAAAACAAACGTAAAACACAGTACATCAAAACTAAACCAGAAATTTTGCCAACTCTATTTCAGTCTAACAATATTATGAAGGCAGCAAACGTTTTCTTTCTTTCTTTTTTTTTCCAGAACCATAGATTGAACTCAGGCCCTTGCGCTTGCCAGGGAAGCGCTTATTCTACTGAGCTATCTCCCTGGCCCCTAGACATGTCTTTTTTTAAGCCTGTAAACTTTTTCAGTCTTTCCTTATGACAACATATTGCAGTTAATAGCTTAACTGTCCAGCCTCCCTATCCGACTCTAGTCTATACTATTTGACAAAGTGGACTATTCCCCAGGTGTAGCTCAGTCTCGATTCAATAGCCACTTATGGATGAGGACAAAGAGTTGTAAACGTCTTGATTCATGCTCTTTTGTGTCTCTGGTTGTCACTTCTGGTCTCTTTAAGGTTCTTGGGAAAATTATTACTGTGGTTTTTGTTTTTGTTTTTTTGAGACAGGGTCTTGCTACAAAGCTCAGGTTGGCCGCAAACTCACAGCGATCCTCCTGCCTCAGTCTCCCCAGTGTTAAGATTGCAGGAGTGCACCAACATACCCGCTCTTAAATTCCTTTTCTATAAAACAAAGCCAAAGATACTATCACTCGACTAAATTTCCCCGACAGGGGACTTGCAGTACCCTGCAAAATCATGAGTCCCGCGTAAACCTACTGAAGCTCTTTACCTCTGTACATGGACGCAGCAGGGACGCCAGGGGTCGGTGAGTTGTTGGTCTGAGGGAGCCCGAGGAAGCGGTCCAGGGCTGAGCCCTGGCAATAACTGCGAGAGGCCGAAGCTAGGCGGGGACATGAGGCACAGGTGCCCACCACACAGGATAAGAACCTATTTTGACAGCCTAAAAGTGAACGGAGTGGGCTCTCCCATTCCTTCGCAACGTGGGGGCCTGTCTGCCAGGACCTTAACGCGGACTGAAGAAGCCCAGCCCCAAGCCGGATAGGAGCAGCCATGACAGCCGCAAGGCACTCTGGGAGGGAGTGCAACGCTGATTGGACAACGTGGCGGACAAACGAGCGAATAGAGCCCTAGATCGCCCCGAACAGAACATAGACATCCGGGAGCTTAGAGGTGGAGAAGGAGACTAACGGTCGCGAGACTCCTTAGAAACCTGTCAAACAGTTTAAACTGAGAGATAAATTTTGTGGAAACTAGGATTGGGAGGATAACTTTTTTTTTCTTTTTTTAAACATGTTTCCTTTTTTAATAATTAATTATTTATTAGACATGCCTCTGGGGCCGGGGAGATGGCTCTGGAATAAGCGCTTCCCTGGCAAGCGCAAGAGCCTGAGTTCAATCCCCGGTTCTGCCAAAAAAAAAAAAAAAAAAAAAAATAGACATGCCTCCTTGTGTAGTTTAGGCTGGACTTGAGCTCACTATGTAGCCCAGGCTGGTCTTAAACTGACAGTAATCCCCTCGCCTCAGCTTAATTTATTAAGCATCTACTATATGCAACCCCTTTCTAGGTTGTGGGGATGCATCAGTAAACAAGAACAGACAAAATGGTCCAGCATGAGACTTGAACCCTATCTGGCCTTGAACTTGCTATCCATCCTGAATGGCCTGTGTGTGAGACATTAGTGACATCTGTATAGGAAGTTGGGTACAGTGATTTGTATGAAGACTTAAAATGTAGTGGACAGGGGCTGGGGAGATGGCTCAGTAGAATAAGTGCTTCCTTGTCAAGCTCAAGGGCCTGAGTTCAATCCCCAGTTCCAAAAAATAAAAATAAAATAAAATAAATGGAGTGGACATCCCTGTAATCTTAGGTACCAGGGAAACTGAGGTAGGCGCATCACCAAGTTCAAACCCAGTCTGGAAAAATTAAAGAAGGACTGGGTATGTAGCTCAGTAGTAGAGTACTTGCCTGGCATCCTAGTAGTCCCTGGATATAATCCCTAGTCTTTTTTTTTTTTTTTTTTT